AGACGTGTCTGAATCGCAGCAGGTAATTGATATCTCTGTTTCAGCCAACGACTGCTGCTGCAGTATATTTCAGTATAATTTTCAGTGTTGGTCTTTTGCTTCAGAAACATTGAGGAAATCCTCGCTGCCAAAGGAGAGACAGTGAAGAGGGTTGAAGGAAGTGCTGCTCTGGAGATAGTGATGGATCAGTCCACAGAAGACAAGCCACAGTGTGCTGAAGGCACAGAGGAGTCTAGCAGTGATCCAGAAAAACGATAAAGCTCTGCTTGTACTGTAATGTTTATACTGTAAAATTTCTATATTTAATTTATTAATAAAATCGCATTTTTTGAAATTGCTTTTGTTTTTTCATCGTGCATTTTGATCATTTTAGTGTACATGATAAGCTTTCAAAAGAAGGTGCTGGAAGTATAAATCCAACAACTAACTGTAGTTGAAGCAAGAATAGTTTTTAATTAAATAATAAAATAACTATCTCGAACTGTAATGTGTGGATAGGAAAACATCGAAGTTATTATTATTATTTTTTGTTGTTGTTGTTATTTATTTAAAAAAAAAAAACATTATTCCGCTCCAAATGACCCTGTGGGCGTTCCGTTGGGAACGACTAATCTCGCGACATCTCGCATTGTCGCGTACAGTAAACGTGTAAACATATATGACAAGTAGTTCTCAGCTAAGCTAGCTATATTTTGCAGTCTATAGAATTGACTGCAATGGACACTGCAGGAGCCCAGGACGAGGCGGACAGGCCCCACCATCGGCCTTTCCTGATCGGTGTCAGCGGAGGAACGGCCAGCGGCAAGGTCCGTCATGTTTAGGGCTTGTATGTGATTTAGCATCCCGGCTAGCTTTGCGTACTCTGCCATTGGCGCCAATATTAGCGTTTATCAACCTGACAAAAACAAATGTCACACTCACTTACCCGGGAAATACGTATGTTGGTCATAATTACATGTCTGCTGTGTTCATTTTATACTATATTTGTGACCTGGTGGCGCCCAAGACTTGTCCAGCTAACTAGCCGCTGTAATGAAACTGTCAGTTCTTTATAGACCTGGAGTCAGCTAATAAATACCGAGGTCACTGATACAACGTTTCACTTCAGACTGTTGCTCAGGACATCACCTAAAACAGAATTTAATATTGTGCTTTAATACAATCAAAGGCATTACTGACAACAATAGTCGATTTTTATTTATTTATTTACAGTCGACCGTCTGTGCAAAGATCATGGAGCTCCTGGGTCAGAACAAGGTGGACCACCGCCAGAGGAAGGTGGCAATTATAAGCCAGGACTGCTTCTACAGGGTCCTGACTCCAGATCAAAAAGCCAAAGCGATCAAAGGCCAGTACAACTTCGATCACCCAGGTAGGCTCATGCTACAAGTAGGATATTTTTCCCCTCTGCCAAATCTGATCACGACAGACCCAGTCAGTGTATTTGTAAGATCACTCTAATATAAGGTATAGGAGAGTTAAAGACCTACCTGTATTGTAAAATAACATGCATATATATTTTGTTATGCTGTTTTAAGGGTGTTGTTAATTATAAAAGACATCCAGATATTGTTACTGGATGATCTAACATCTGTAGTAAATATAAAAGTCCTGTGGAGGAAAAAAAAAAAGTAAAACAAAATTAGGAGCAAAAAAACACAGAAACAGAAAATTCAAAGTCTGACATGATGAATTGCAATGCTTAGATTTTATTTAGAGTTTGGGATTGCTATTTCTGAGCAGGTGACAATATATGGGCTGGAAGCAGTGCTTTAGTTAAGTACACTTGTGTTAACACATGTGGGTTTAGTGGATAATGCTGAACATGGGCTTTGTGAAATTATGCTCCTTACATGCCTCGTATTATGTACTTCACATATTTATTGATTTAATCATGTTTTTGCTGTTTTATACAGTGAATTAGACACATAAGGCTAGTCCTTCAGTGTTTCGGTTTAATGTCTTTCAGAGGCATTTGACAATGAGTTAATGTACCAAACGTTGAAGGATATCGTGGAGGGGAGGGTAGTCGAAGTGCCGACATATGACTTTGTCACTCATTCCAGGTAGGAAGGAAGCTCTTCGTGGTTCTAAGCCCTGATATTCTTTATAAAAAAATAAAGTCCTCTGTCCTCACCTCATTTATTGTGTTTATAGGCAGGAAGAGAGGATCACAGTTTACCCGGCGGACGTAGTCCTCTTTGAGGGGATCCTCGTTTTCTACCCACAGAAAGTGCGCGACATGTTTCACATGAAGCTGTTTGTGGACACAGATTCAGACGTCAGACTGTCTCGCAGAGGTATCGGTGACTCTCTTACACATGTGAAAACCAGACCAAAAATTTATGTTATTAAAAAAAAACAAAACAACTTTTTTATGTTTCCTAAGATTTCAAAACTTACAAAATAACTTTCATTTACCAGTCTTTGTTGATTTTCTATTAATTTTTAAGTTTAAGATGTCAAACTGTGCTGTTTGTTGGGATTATTGTGGTTTGGTAACAATACAATGATCTAATCCATAAAAAGCTTTATCATCAGAGGCCAAAAATCGAAAACTTGCCAGCAGAACTAAGGGGGCTCATTTTGTTGGCTGACTGGCCAGGTCATGCCCAAAGGTGTATTTGGCTGAGCATTCAACCCTTACATCAGAATCAATTAGCTGAAAAGCTGGCATATCTTGCTGTGGTGCAGTGAACAGTATTTGAATGTCATGTCCTAAAGAAATGGGGCGAAAAGATCCAACAAAAGCCAGACACAGGATCTGGCCCTTCAATAGATCTGTCACTGAAGCTTCATCAGAAATGGTCTCAGTGGAAGGGTGGCTGTCAAGAAGCCGTTGTTAAGGAGGGGAAACAGGAAGAAAAGGCTGAGGTATACCAAATAACAGAAAAACTACACTGTAAATCAGTGGTAACGGGTCTTAAGGCGTGATGAATCTGAATTTCTAAATTTTAGGTTTAGATGGCTGTCTATATACAGAGGAGGTCAGGAGAGCGTTTAGTCATCTGCCCATCACAGCGGAGGCTCTGTCATGGTTTAAGGCTGCATTTCGACCAGTGGCTTTGGGGATCTTGTCAAAATTGAAGGAATTATGAACACAGAAAGTTGCGGTCAGAAATTGATCGAACATACAGAACCATCTGGAAAATGTGTGATATAAAGCAGCTTGAGTTTTTATCATGACGATGATCTCAAACAAACTATTAATGCAGCAAAGACACAGATGGATTAAAAAACATTCATACAATGGAACATTATAGGTCATGGATTGGCCTCCCCAGTGTCCTGATCTGGACATTACTGAAGTATTGTGGGATCCTCCTGACAGAGAGCAGAACAAAAGGCAGCCAACACCCAAAGAAGCCTGGAGCACTATTCCTGCAGCCTACTTACAGAAATTACAAGAGCGAGACCTGTGTTCATCAGCACTAATATTCCAAATCACTAGAACTCAATTTTTCTTTATATACGGGTATTTCCATGCAAGTTTGAATAAATTACTGTACCCATTTCCTATTTTTTTTCTAGCAAAATATAAAAAAACTGAGGATGACTCACAAATTTTGTACCATAGTAATATTAATAGATATTACAGACAGTGAAATGAAGAGAACACAAATATGGGAAAGTCCAGTTGTTCTTGATGGCATCATCACTTGTCTTTGGGATTCTGTTTTTGGTCTAATCTTTATATGCTGAGTCACATTTTTACAGTTGATATTACTTCATACCCTACTTTTTTCTTTTTTTTTCTCCTCCTGTAGTTCTGCGAGACATGAGCAGAGGGAGAGACCTTGAGCAGATTCTCAGTCAGTATACAACATTTGTGAAGCCAGCTTTTGAAGAGTTTTGTTTGCCTGTAAGTGTGGTGGTCAGCCCCGATTATGCGCTTATTTGTTCAGCATCCTATTCTGTTAAGCAGACACACGTTACATTTGTTTCTAAAGACATTTTGTTCTTCCCAGACTAAGAAGTATGCAGATGTCATCATTCCAAGAGGAGTCGACAATATGGGTGAGTGCTTTTTCCTTAAGAAAATAAATACATTTCAGCATTTTCTTGCTCTCTGTAGAGTCAAAAAACAGAAAAACCCCAACTCGTTTTTTTTATATCCATCAGTGGCCATTAACCTCATTGTGCAGCACATCCAAGATATTTTAAATGGCGAAATCTGCAAATGGCAGCGTGGATCCGTGAACGGCCAAGCACGTGCTCTTAAACGGGTCCTGTCTGAGCAAGGTGACCTACAGAACGGATCCGCCAACGCCCCAGGAAAGAGGGTCCTCCTGGAGCCCAGCAGTCGGCCTCACTGAGACTGTATAGATTTGAATCGATTGGCTTTGAGCTTTAATCGCTGCTACAGATTGTATTTAATTTTTTTTCTTTCTAAATGTGAAGTGTGTCGGACACGCTCTGCATTATTTTAAAATAACCCATAATCACATGTTGCAGGGATTTAGTGCTGCAACGTCTTTCCCATTTAACTGCAGTTATTGGTGCATTACCAGAATCTTGAATATGTTTTTTGTTTTTAAACAAGCAGTCTTCCATGATGCTTTAATTTGTTTTTTTCCAGTGTTAAGTCCAGTCATGTGACCTGTGTCTGAGACTGGAGGTCTTATAATTGAGGGTAGGAAGTGTTTCTGTACAGTAGATGCTGACCTATAGTCACGCTTTTGCACTTGGAGTGACCCTACTGTTAAACTGAGTCACGCTTCTTTATTGCTTTCAGATTAATATATTGAAATGATAATGCAGATGTCTTGTACGTTTCTCTTTTAAATCAAGTCAGAGCCAGATGTGTTGCACCTAGTTTCATATCGAGCACATTCTTAATTATTTAATAATGGATCTATGCCTTAATTTGTTTACTTCCACTCGTTATTTGTGTACGACAATAAACGGAAACTGTTAAACTTTATTCAAGTGTCAGTCGATTTGAGAAAAGGAGGGTGGGGTGGAATGGGGGTGGTGGATCTTGTGACCAACACAGTGTGTATAGAAAGAGCCGTTTGCTTTATTGGAGTTTGAGAGCACAGTGTGATGTGTTGGTTTTATCCCCAAAAAGGAATAAAAAAAAAAAAAAGATTTTACTACAGCACATTTTTGGAATGACACACACACAAGTCACAGAGGACTTCAGTCACACACAGTCTTTCACACACTAACATGACCGGGACGTGACTGTGATTGCCTGATGGTTTCTCTACACTTGAACACGGCACTCGATGATTCAGAATGATGTACACAGATCACAGCATCTTTAGTTATTTATCTTTTTGTGTTTTTGCTTTGCTTATCTTTTTTTTTTTCTTTCAAGTGCACGTGTATGGCACTTGGGAGAAGCGGAGCTCTTCTCATAAGCATAAACATCCTTTTTAAGAACAAAAGGAGCACTGTATATAATACATTTCATAACCATACATGATTCTTACACAAAAATGTTTCAAAACATAGGTTTCCAGTCTATCATGGCCATCCTCTCCTCCAAGTCCAAATCTCCCACCTCCCAGCCTCGTGCCCACAGCGAGCCCTCGGGGGTCTGCAGCCCGCCCGTAGATGTCACAGTTTGTGTCAGGCTGCCGTTTGAGGGGAACTCGAGTAGGAAGAGGGCTGAAGAAAACCAATAGATGGCACATACATGAGGAAGAGGAAGGAGCGGCTTGAGAGTAATGGACCATTCAGCTCACACACTCACATGCGCGCGCGCACACACACACACTTGCGCAGCAGCTCCACTCTAAAACAGAAAGCCCAGGAAACAGACTTTGGTCATTTCCGTAGTGTCTCCCTGTGATTCTTCCCCTCCTTGGCACCGGTCTACCTGTTGCCTCGCCGCAGCCACAGAATGTCTCCAATAATCCCAATTATAATCTCCCCGAGCAGTAGAGCTCTTTGTAAACCTCGATGACGCTTCAGTTGTCTGTAGTTTGTTCTCAACCCCCTCCCCCCACCCACAATGAGTCTCCCATCAGCCTCGGCGGGTAGCTTCCGTTCGTCTCTTTTTCAGTCTGTAGTAAAGTGGAGTTAGTGTCATGAAGCACAGTTGGAGGTCAGTGTTGGAGGCCCTCCTCCCCTCCGCGGGCCCTAGGTCTTCTCCTCACGGTCCGTCTTGCGTCTCGAGATGTTTCTGGGTTTTATCTTCAGCGACAGCTCCCAGAGGGCCTCCTCGGCCAGGTGATCGCTGAAGTCGTTGAAGAACGAGACGATGTCTTCGTTGCGCTTCAGCTCATAATGCCTGAGATGAGGAGAGGTAATTCATTACTGAGAAAGCAAAGCAGTCTGTGTGAAGATGACAGCCATGTTTTATGACATTAAGATTTAATGGAGAACAAAGCAGGAACACATTAGCGTTCCTTCCAGTGGCAAACGATGATGACATTTATTGCTGCGATTGATGTGTTCAGTGGCTTCTTATTAAATCCTACTTATTCCGATGGACCTACACTTGTTGGAAGCGCCGCATACTGTCCAGAATGTTGAACTGCTGCCAGCGTTTGGAGAAATTGACCTTCCCGTCGATCAGGTCAGGGTTCCCCAGGTGGACGAAGGTCAGGTCCTGGAGGATGAGACCCCTGTGGAGAAGAGTGGAAGGAATAAATGAACCAGTCATGCTTAGACGCCCATCTCGATGAGTCATGCACATTTACTCACAAGTACGGGATGCACGGGGGCTCCACTTCAGCCAGTGCAGCTCTGTATGCCCTGAAGGAGGAGGAGCTGTCGATCAGCGTGCAATACTCCTCCAATCCCTGAGGGAGAAGATTTGGGGATATTTATTAAATTAAATAACAGTTGTGATACCCGAGGAGATTTTTAATTTCTCTTCCTAAATTTGCAATCGTCTCACCTCTGAGGTCTGCTTCTGCCACTCCAACCTCCTGATGGGGGCCGAGTCCAAAGCAGACAGTATTGCCAAGTAGGAGTTGAAGTTATTCAACTTTCTTAAGTGCTGTAATAAAAATAAATATGACTGTTAAATGCTGTTAAACAGGGAAACTCCTGATGATTTGTATGGTTTGTAAGACTTAAACCAACCTTCATTATCTTAATGAACTTGAGAAGCAGCTTTTCTCTGTCTTGAGCTTTCTCTTGCTGAATTATCAAAGAGCGAACCCTGCAAGGAGAAAGAGAGAGACACGGTGGGGTGTCGGCGTTTATTGAGGCGAGATGGTATGAGAGGAAAGCCACAGAATTTAATTATAGGGGAGGAGATGTTGAGTTAAGCGTTACAGTGTCTGATGAGGTTTGTGTTTAGTGTTTTTTTTTGTCATACCAATAGCTCATGTTGTTAAAGTGCTCTGTGAACTGAGTCAGGTTCGGACTCTTCTCCTCATTCTGCTCCTTGGCCCAAAGTAGAACTTCGGGAATCTGAAGGAAAACACAGAGGAGAGCAGAGCACAAGGTTGGGATTGATTATGTGTCAAACCACAAATAATCAGCAGATTGGTGAAAGATTTAACGCAGCAACGAAGGCACCGTACCTCAATTTTATAAAAAAGTTCAGCATCGAGAAGTGTGAGCTGATCGGCGATCTCGTGACTGCGGAAGTCGTGAAGAGTTCCAGGCCTGATGAAAAACACACAAATCATTAGATGGAGTCTGAAACTGAAGCGACACAACCTCCTACTTTCCCATCTGTCCCGAAGAGCAAAAAAGCCTTACAAACACAACAACAGTCATCTCGAGGTGCTTTATGCTGTAAGGTAAAGACCCAACAATCAGACAACCACTTTGACCAAACTCTTGGTGACAGCGGGAAGGAAAAACTCCCTTTTAACTGGAAGAAACTGCATTTATGGCCATTGCTATATGTCAAGGCACATCCCCACAAGAAGTGACTAGCAGAGACAAAAGAAAGTCAAGGACATTCACATGTCCACAGGCAAAAAACCACTACGTGTCATGTGAAGTGGGTGGGTACCAAATTAAACTTTCCTCAACTTCAAGGGGGATAGTTGAAATGGCTGCCAATTAGATCGCGGGATACCAATGATTGACAGGTGACAGGGTGGCAAATATACAACACACACAAAGCAGAACCGCCAAAACTGTAGTTCTAGCATAAAAGATGGATGTAGTGGGTGCTGCTATACGTCGTGTGGATGAGTGGTAGACCATCCACATAATGGCAGCCCTCCCTGAACCTGAGTCTGTTTCTGCTGGAAGTTTCTTCCTGTTTAAAGGGAGTTTTTCCTTCCTATTTACACCAAGTACTTGCTCATAGGGGGTCACCTGATTGTTGTGACTTTCCCTGTATTATTGTAGGGTCTGTACCTTACAAAATAAAGCACCTTCAGGTGCTGTATGAATAAAATAAAACTGAACTGAACTGAAGACTGTTGCAGGGTTCCTGGGTTCAACTTTGCCTGAGTGTTACTGCAGAGTCCAGAATCAATGGGTGACCTCACTGCGGCTATATCCATCATTTATATACAGGCTATGGTTCAATTAATTCCAAAACACTTTACAAAACAATTTAAATGGAAACTATGGTGCAATGAACACCCTGTTGTGGCACAGAGCTGAGCCACTAACTCGGCCTTTTTAATATAGCGGATTGATACATAGTGCACACATAGCTGCTGATTGGGTAACCCTTTTGATACAGCTACCAAATGAGAAAACAAACCATTGCACAATCTTTCACACCACTTGAGGGACACGTTGTTTAATCCAGAAACCACAGAAAAACTGTGCACCGCTTTCCGATTTTTATTTGTGTCCTTGATCGTCCCCGCCTGGCTTCACTCCTGTTAGCACTGTCACTGTCCACCTATCCTGTGCCAAACTGTCAGTGCTTCAACCTTCCACTGCTCATTAGAATTCATTTACCTGGACTGTCTGATCATCTTCACTTTCATCAGAATTACTAAGCTATTTCTTATAATACCTCAAACTGGTCGACTGATTATTAATTAGTACAGAGAAATTATTTTAATACAGCACCCTGTGTCGATAAAATAGCTGCTTAATGAAGTTAAAATGGAATCTGATATTAAGATACATCTCAGTACACAACGCTTTACTCCCCAAATGTTTAACTGCAGCCATGATATCATCTGGGAATCATTAAATTGGTTTAAGATTCTATGACTGCAGTCTTGTGGTTTCTGATTGCAAGTCTGCCAGGCACTGAATCCAACCCTGCTTGTTATCCTTAAAGGTACAGAGCTATAAGAGAAGCACTGCATTTTTCCGTCATCCCCATCCCCATGCACGCCTCAAAAAGACTTGACTTGAAACTCCCACAGTACCTTGCAGAGACCCCTCGTGCCGCGAGGGGCTTGAGTGAGTTAGTGTAACGCAGCAGCTTCTTTTGCTCCACCTTATCCAGGATATTCTTGCGGAGCACACGGGCGAGACTGAGTTCGCCATTACACACTAGTGTGAACACCAGGTCCATGAGCTGTTTCAAAATGTCCTCGGTCAGCTCTACCAGGCTGGGAGACACAGAAGGGACAAAAGAAATCTGTCAGCTCAATAAAGCAGTCAAAAGATAACAAAAGAAGGACAACGGGGAACAATAACTACTCACCACAGCTCATCTACCACACGAACCAGCACGAAGAACGTGTTCTTGCTCACTCGTTTCTTGAAGGTGTCTGGACTATGGCAGAACGTGGTATATGTGCTTTGTGGTTAAGGACAGTGACAACAGTGTTTAATGTGGAATTTAAAAAAAGAAAAAGCTTGATACTTCATGATACTTCCAAGAAGCGGCAGATGAATGAATCATCAATTCATCAGGGACTTGTCCCAGTACGGTTCTTACCCAAAATAAGTGAACTATGAATATATAAGATATTACATGTTTCCCTTTTAAAAAATAATCCATTTCTTCACTATTTACTTCATGTAAAAGGTAATCAGTTACACTGCTTGTTATATCACTTCTGCATTACTCTGCAACATCACGGTGCAGAGTAATCACACACGCCCACATATCTAGCCCTATCCCACCAAGGAGTACATACACAACATCTTTCTTTATTATTTAAGTATAAGGACAAAGTCAGGAGTGAAGAACACTTTACAAAAAACTGTCATGGCAACAGCAGTGTACTGTAGGGATACTTACAGATAGATAATGCTCCCACTATTTTGTGTAAGGAGTCCTAAATAGAACTGAAGTCATGTTTGCAGATGTTTTGCATTTGTTTCCAGCTTTGGTGTGGTTTCCCCTTTACAGTCACATTCTTTTCCATTTATGTAGTAAATAAATTCAAAATAATTTGCTTATTAAACAGCATCAAAGGTATGTTATGTACATTGAAGAAATCAAGAGTCACCTTAGTTCAGACAGGCCACTGAGCCAAGCTTTGGATAAAGAACCTTCTACTCAATCAGCTGTAAGCCACTTTGATACCCACCTCCACTTCAGCTTCTCTTGTTTTCCTTGATTCCTGCTCTAAGAGTTGTACTGTGAGGTGAGAATAATGGGTACCTGTCTAGATCACCAAGGTAACATGTGTGTTCAGCTTTTTGTCTTAACTGTGGGTGCCACATTTTCTCTGTTATTTCAAACAGCATCCTGTAAGTCTACACAAGGAATATGTATACATGCAACCATGAGGCCCAGCTTTGAAGTTACAGCAGTGGAAACCATGCATCGCATTTTTTTCTGGAATTTGCAATACAGAAAATCTTTAATTTCTTGTTATGTTTGGTCCTAATCTGCTGAAGAGTCTCCTACACTCTGCTTTAATTAATTAGTGTCCCACTCTGAATGCTGAACTATGGTGCAGGGTGTTTTTGCAGAGTCATTAGCCTCAACACATGGCCAGAATACCTGCAGAGTTCTTAACGGTTTTATTGACAACTGCTCTTTGTCTATAAAGTTGAGCCAATATTGTAAAGACCTCATCATCATTTCTGACAACCACCTGAGCCTGAATAATTTGTCGAGTCTTGTTTTATGCAGTCCCAGCGAGGTCAGATCAATTTGATCCAAAAGTATAGATGCTTTCATCTCCTTTAGGTTAGATTATTGCAGTTTGTTATACACTTGCTTGTGGAAACAACGTTTACAGAGCACAGCTGGACTAAAATGCAGTGGCCAGACTTCTTTACTAAAACCACACAAAAAGCGAACACATCACCCCTGATTTAGCTTCTCTTCAGCTAATTCTAAAACACTAACTTATAATTGTGTTAACACCAAGGTACAACGTGTACAAAGTGTATCATCTTTCCCCAGCAATGATGTTTTAATTATTTTATATTTGCTTTTAATTTACTTGTTTTCTATTTTTAATTTTCTTTATTGCTCACTTTTAATCTCCTTGTGCTGCCAGTATTCCTACACCTATCACCGTTTCACTTTTATCTCTGTTTGTCTTGTGATGCACTTTATAACTTCGATCTTTCAAAGGTTCTATTTAAATAAAGTTGATTTTTTTTCCAAATGCTGCTGGAATTGCAGCTTCTGGAAGACAGATCAGAAAACTGATCACATAGATTTTATTGGTTATGTATCATCAAGAATACTTATTTAGTCAATAAAGCTATGAGACCAGGCTATGAGACAGAGTCAGAGCTGAACACATCGATCTGCCTTTAAGGCTTATGCCTTTAAGTTTCAGAGCTCTGATGTGCAGCAGTTACAGCAGCACAGAGAGCACACAGAGCAGTAATATAAATATATTAACATATTTATATTTCCCCTCTGTGCGCTTGTGTTGACCAAATCATGAAATGTGCAATTTTCTGCAGCATTACTCTCCAGTCTTCAGGACAGTCTTATGATCCATTTTGTGGAGAAAGAGTCAAACAACACGTCAAACATCCCTTTTACAGGAGCCTGAAGCAGAAAGCCTGGGTTAACACAAAAAGCTGATAACCACCATTGTGCCACTTATGATCTCCCACTGGAGTTTTAGGTTCTGGCAGGCCAGCTAATGCAAAGCAAGCCTCCCCATTTCCACCATGCTTAGAAAAAAAAAACCACCATTTTGAACTCAACCTGGAGCTTTGCTTAAGTTCTGCAGATGTAAGTGATGATTTTTTTGACTTGTCCTGTCTGAACTCAGAAAACACAACAAACAAAGTAACTGACAGTGTAATGGGACCGCTTTATGTCTACATAGACATGCATCATGTGACTACATCACAATGGCATAACAAATACACATTTTCTCTAAAATTCAAAGGCATGTGTGTTTGACACAAGACTGTTTTTGCCTGTTCCCTTTAGCTTTCTGTGAGCCTCAGTGTCTTGTATAAACAATGATCGTCATTAGGCAGTAATCACTGTCATTACCGTGTTGCTAATTAATTCCTGCAGTAAAAACAATAGAGCTGTGACTAACTTATTATCAGATATTCCACTGATGATATGCTCAATCAGTTGATTAACTGTCTAGTCATTAAGACATCGGGACAAAATGCAGCTTATCAAAATTTCCCCGAGTAGATTTGCAGTGACGCAAGTCTGCAACACACATGATTAAGAACGACTTATTAAAGCATCTCCTAATTTGTCCAAATAATAAGTTTGGCCATATAAAGTTAATGATGAAACACTGCAGAAGTAATGTGTTTAGTCTTCAGTGGAGTGCTAAATATTAAGTCCAATACATGTGATGTCTAAAATCCATCCATCCGTCCTCTTCCACTTGTTCAGTTTAGGGTTGGAGGAGGTGGGCTGGACCCTGTCCGAGGTACCACAGGGCTGGACAGGTTGCTAATTTGTTGCAGGAGCAACACAAAGAGACGGACAACCATTCTCACTCACATTCACTCCTACGGCCAATTTAGAATCACTAGTTAACCTGAGAGAACCCACACTGCCCCTAATGACTCACTTTTTTTAATCATTAAAAATAATAATAAAAATTAATAAAAAAAAATAAAGAAATAAAATATAGGAAAAAAGTATGAATATAATTTAAGTGAAAGCTCTAAAATGAGCAAGCAGGATGAACAAGGGTCTCCTTGGTAAAAAGAATTAAAGTGAGAGAAAGAGCACTCTGTCAACAACAACAACCAAACAAAAAAAAGGTCAGAGTGACATGTAGAGATATTTGAAAAGGATATCTGTAGTGTAGCTTCTTAATGAGGTCCTCTGGGGTTATAAAAGTCCTATATGTAGTCAGAAAGGCTTCACAGTACAAAACGAGATCTGTCGAGCAAGAACAGAGGGAAAAAGGCAGCGTGTTTCAGTCGATGTGCAGCCAGTGTTTTCAGTTACTTAATTAAAGCTGACAGCACATCATCAAACGTGAAGGGCTGACACGCTGCAAAAAACTGAACCGCAAAGAGACAGAAAGCTATTTAAAACACCGTTCAGAGGAAAAATAATAACACAGCAGTCGAATTTAAACAAGTACACATAAATCTGTCTTTGACTCTAATGTAAACGCACAGCTGTCAAAGCTGGCAAAACAAATCTGTGCCAGTGACCCAGAAGCACAGTGACACACTGCACAACATAACGACTGCGATGCTTTGCGTGTGCTGTACTGTACCTTTGCGGTCTGTTTCTGTAGCGTGGACTAATAGGATGTCCCCTGATCCGGCGCGGACGTCGGGGCCGTCGTCATTCTGCGAATATTAAGTAGCGGGCGAGGTGCGGCAGAGAAATACGGAGGTGGGTGAGAGTGAAAGGAGGAGGAGGAGAAGAAGAAAAGAGTGGTTAGACTTGGGATGGAGTGATGCAGTCTAGCCCAAAATGAAGCACGCACATTTCCTTCCCCCTCCCCGACCCCTCCTGTCCTGCACCAGCTCCCTAACTGATGACGGAGAAAAAGTCTAGATCTGTGCGTGACAAAGATCGCCTCTGCTGTGATGTTTCTTGCACGACACCTCTAAATCTCAGCAAAGCTTTACACCTTTCCTCCTTACATTTCTGATCGCTCCCCGTCTCCTTTTTTAAAGCATTGCTGTCACACTGGCCCTAACCTTGCAGAGTGGCAAACAGCATTTTCACACATCTGTATCTCTGTATCTAACCCTCACACTGCACCACACAGGACAAAGGAGGAGGAGGAGGATGGAGCAGCAGCAGAGCAGTCAATTTTTAGATCTGCAGTTTTGGAGATTGAACTCCAGAGGGCAGCCACGGCTGCTCTCGGGATCTGATTTCACATCTGAATGACTCACAGAGACCTTTTACCCTGAGCTGGACTAACAGGATGAAGCGTGCTTTGTACGCTGGTGCTGCTGCACACTTCTGTTGTCGGTGGATTTCTAAAAACAGCACGCAGGCCTCAAACAGCTGTCCCCTTACTTCTTGTTTTAGTGTTATCCTGCTCATGATCTCCTTGTGGTCTATGAGGGCGAGCTCGTCCACATCTTCTTCATCGCTCCCAGCTGAATCAGTTGCCTTTTGCCTTCTGAAAAACCACACACACACACACACACACACACACACAAACACACACACACACACAGCCATCATCAAACATGTTCACACGGTGTGCTAGAGTGGAAACAACTGATTATTAACAGATCACAGTTGTGCTAACTAGCTCATCAAATGTGAAGAACATCCTTTCTGCAATACCTTTCCTTATCCTCTTTGTTATTGGTGGATGGCATCTGAGGGGTGGGGTCTTGAAGGACATCATCAGCCGCGATTGTGTCCTATTTGTGGAAAGGGGGGAAAATAAATAATTAAATAAGCATCTGTAACAGCATCACTGATGAATGACCCCCACGCAGCAACAGGAGGCTGCGTGGCTGTTGATGGCATCAGAGGGACCACTAGGACTTCATGCAACATGTTGGCAGAGCAGAAATGGTGAATGGTTTATCTCAAGGTTTACAAAGGATGTTGTCCCCATTAGTGCTGATGCAGATAAGGTGTAATGAGCTGGGGGGGTCAAATAATGAAGCTTTCCTTCGTTGTGAGTAAGGAAAAACCCGACAGATGATACCCAAACCAGAACAACACCACAGGGTAGAAGCACCAAATGTAGAACCACAAACACAACCACACTTCCATACATCATCCTAATCCTTTGTTCTCTCTCCCTCTCTCTTTCTCACCTCACCCCAACATGCCTTAAAATCCCAAATGCACAAGCTGCCCCAAGGGAATACAAACACCACTGTACACGCACGCACATACACTTGTCGCACATGCACAGGTGCACAACAACTGTTATGAGAAGTGTTACTGGAAACCATTGAGAATCCCTCAGCAGCGACATGTTAGGTGTTAGATTGGAACATGGTTAAACGCTTGTTACAGTTAAAGCGCAGCCAGTGAGAGAGAGAGGGGGGGGGTGGCAATCAGCAGCCAGGCATTCATAACAACATACACAACATGGACATCTTTTTTTCCCCCCACAGACACCAGCCAGAGCACACAAGTTCCTTGCAGGCAAAACCCTGTGAACCTCAAGTCATGCTCAGTCAGGTTTGGCCACGTTCACATTCCATCTCTTCGCCATCGCTCCAGGAGGTGAATCAATAAAAGCTGCTCGGCGCGCAACAGATGTGAGACTGACATCTGCCGACCGTCGCTCGAAACCCCTCCAATTGATTCATACCCCTGAAGTGATGGGGATGTGCAAATGGAATTGACCTTTCACCTCCCCACCCCGTGCCGGTCAGCTACTTACTCCGAGGGAGTGAGGCAGCTCCCCATTGGCCTGGCTGGATGAGTACAAGTTGACATACTCCCCCTCCCCGCCCTCGTCGTTCGCGCTCTCGCTCTATGGGAAAAGAGGAGGGACACAAACCGAGGCGTGAGGGCGGCAGAGAGTGTTTGCTAAGGGTGGAGCAGACACCGAGTGAGAATGTGTGGCTAAGGAGGAGAGATAGCAGTCTAGTCGAGGTCTGGCGCTCTACAGAGAGTGATGTGCTTTCCAGTTCTTACTTGTGACCACCAGGTGGCGCTGGAGTGCGTTAGATACAAACAGGTAATAATATTTACTGGCAAGAAGAACATGCAGTGCAACATGCTCCACTGGGATTCTTTTAAGGACCAATAATCAGACAGCAGACAGCTTGTGAGCAGTGATAATGACAACAAGATACCACTAAGAGAATGAGTCACTGCGTTATTATTATATGAGCAACAATACTGTACGCCAAACAGCTGTGATCTAATACCAATCTTCCAGGGGAAGGGATTCAGCATCACATTTTTTCCCCCCTTTCAAATCTGTTTCACAGAGCTGGTTCAAAAGTATTCCTGCTTGAGCTTCCAACATCTGTCCTTTTTTTGTAAGCTCACCGCTGAGGTGTGGAGAGAGTCAGTGAGAGAAGACTCAGAAGGAAGACAGACAGCCATAGAACCCACTGAGCCAGCCAGGGAACCGTTGGGCCCGCCCCCGCTGCCATCCAGAATGGTGGCATTGGTCAAGGCAACCTGGTCCAAGCTCTGTGATTGGTGGAAAAGAATGAAAGCAAGAAAGAAGACAAAACAAAATGAAAAGGAAAAAAAAAGAAAAAGACAGGTCTAAGAGATCAGAAAGAAGGAGGCAGAGCAGGTAGAAAAAGATTCTGCACAAAGGGAAAAAGACAGCGAGGGAGGGGGGCGTGTTCACCTCATACCTCCAAAACTTCCATTAGCCTTTGACTATGGGAGTGATGTGCCTGAACATGAATTGCGCACACACACACACACACACACACACCTAAACTAAATACAACATAAACATTTCCAGAGGGTAACATGGAAGCTATAAAAAAGGGCTTGGCTTAACAAGGACACGGATAAGCCAGCATCAGCTCTCAGTGTGCATCTATGTTTCGACAAGCGATGTCTAAATGTTTGGTGGTTCATGTGGCCGCTAAATAGATGCCTGGCAGCAGGGAGGGAGCAGTAACTTGTTCTAACATGTTGCACATAGCAGCCCTGTCTCAGCATACCAGCACAGAGTGGTGCAAACACATAGATCACTGGCAAACACGCAGACAAATGAAATGGCACGCTCATGCACAGCCGAACAGAAACCGGAACCAAAGAATCTCATTCTTCTTTTACTTTGCAACGCAAATATCGAAAATCCTCCCAAAACTGTGAAATTCCTCTCCGCTCCTTTAACACGTCATCCCTCTCGACATATGCAAAGCTGCTTTCCTGGAAGGCTCCCCCCCTTGACATTCCCCCAAAAACCATCATGCCCTGACGATTTGAGGAATGCAAACATTTCACAGAAACTGGCAAATGCGAGATGTGGAAGTGTGCATGTGTTTAGGAGAGAGAAAGGCGCTCCCAGCACGGAGGTGAGAGGGACAGGGTTAGTAGTCGAGAGGCTTCACGGTGGAGGGTGAAGTAGGAGGAGTGGAAGGAAGAGCAGTCGAAATGGAGGGAATGTGTTTTCCATCAGATCCATCTGCTGCTGCATTCCATTGGAGATACCCTGAGGGAGACCCACACCATGTCTCAGCGTGCCTCACACACTGAGGGGTCACCATGGGTCAACTCTCCAAAAAATACTGACCCGAAGGCTGTAACACACATCCCAAATCTACTACAAAGTGCTTACTTGAACACAGCACTGATTAGCCTCAAGCTAACTCTTAAAGAAGAAGCTGATGGTTGAAATGAAACAAAAAAAGACCTGACACACTCTCATGTGATGTTCCGATGGACTGCTTTGTACCTACAACTCAATAACTGAGGCACACTGAAAAGAAGAAAAGGATCAAATACAACCTGTAGAGGAAGGCTTTGCACACAAACTCACCAGCTTTGCTAGCAAGAAGCTGCACACAACTATAACAAATTACTCCACAGACTCATTACCACGCAAAGCACACAATAATAAACAATATATATATTTTTTAAAGCAACAACAAAAATCACACAGTTAAAACAAATGCACGCATGGATGGGTGGAGCAGCAAATCTAACTGCACAGCAAACAAATCACAAACGCCCGAGGGTGTCGTCGGGAAAGTCAATGGTGCAGGCGTAGATGAACAAGACTGTATTTACATATGGAGCACACACACAGGGTCAAGCCACTCCTGGACACAGCACCCAGCCAGAGTGGAGAATGGAGAGTTCAAATGCACGGGGTGAAGGAGGGAAGGGAAAGGGGGGGGGGGGAGACTTACCGTGGGTGTGGTCATAGACGCCTGGCCAATCAGGTAGGAGTTAGAAACCGATATGCTGAGGCCCAGCCCAGAGCCCGCCTCCTCCATTGCCGCCACAGACGGCTGGAGGTGGCAGGAGAGAGAGGAGGAGGAGGAAGAAGAAGGGGAAGAGGAGTGGGAGGCCTGAGAGGGAAACGAAGACAAAGAAAGAAAGAAAGAAAGAAAGAAAGAAAGAAAGAAAGAGTGAGAATAAGAGTGAGAATAAGAGGGGGTTGAGGTGAGGTGCAGATGTGGAGAAAAAAGGGTGTTAAAAGAGAAAAAGAGAAGAGGGGACAGTTGATTACACTAGGAAGCGAGACTGTATTAGAGCAGATTTAATCAAAGGTCAGCAGTGGAGCAGTGAAGTTAAGTGGTAAAAGCATAGGAGGTTTTTCTAGTACAGCTGAGAAGCATCAGCTCATTGGCTGCAGATGGAAATACAAGAGAAGGGAAAATGTGTCTGATTATGAATCTTCTCTATTGTGTTTTCCTGGAAAACCTTAATTACTGCAGCACATGTGACGTGTTCAGGTTACACGCATTTATATTGACTCTGACAGCCCACTACACCTTTTGATGTCCTGAGCTTTAAGAGCTTTACAGAAACCAGGCCAGCTGCAACACGCTCTAAACGGAGCCAATATGATCCGCTCTAGTTTTTTTTTCCCCCCCCACCCATTTCCTTATCCACACGGCGGCTGAATTGACTTTTTTTTTTTTGCAAAGCCCTGTAAAGTTGCCAAAGCGTGTAAGCCTGGAACATGGGTTTATGGAGGAGGCAAACAGGCTTAGTCCACTGGGCCACGAGCTCATCAAGTCCAAAACACGAGGCCAGATTAGGCCTAGGGGGCAGGAAGGCGGAGATGAGCGTTGCCCGACTGTATGCTCAGACAAAAGAGTGATAAAAATAAAAGTTGGGAGCCTGGCTCAAAAATACACAGGGGTCGATGGCAGAAAGGGGACAGCGGATGAAGGTGGTGGGTCTGGGTAGGCAGCCATTCAGCCACAAAGTCTGTTTCTCTCTCTGTGAATTTGTACTGTACCCCGGAGAAGCATGTCATCTGCTTACTGTCCTCAAATGCGCAGTCATATTTGTAGACAAAAGACGATTGTGTTTCTGGAAATGTGGCAAAATGTGGATCATCTACCGTGAACACAAAATATTTATAAAGCTCTCTAGCGGTGATCGTTAAACATTTAATAAAAGTAACATTAAAGGCCCCCAAAAAACCCTTGTTTTAAAAATCAAAACATTTTCACCACTACATAAAAATGCAGGCGCCAAAAACTCAGCTGATCTGCTTCACTAGGACTGTGTGTTCCCCACCTCATAACTGCCATTAAACTACAATCCAAAAGCTGTTAAAGTGTGACTGGTGCACAAAAAGCCCCTCTTAATTTAAAGTCGTTAGAGAAGCACAGAGAAAATAACTAAGATCACATGGAAAGTAACCAATAATGTTCCAGATTTGGTAGTATATAATGTGCTAGCGTGAGAACGCATTGCTTGATAGCAGTGTGCCCTTCTTTTGCTGCGACTTATCCTGGTGTGTGTCTCCTCCACTCTCTCCCCACTGACTCATTGTCAGACGGTTGTCTCAATTAACCCAGACGCCGACCCAGATTAAGATAAGTGGTCTGGATCTGATAAAGGCCGGTCTTATCTCCAACTAACAACCAAACACCTCCACGTATGTGCAGATGTCTGCTGCGGTTACAGAAATGGAGAGAGAAGAAAGAGAGGGAGTCGAATAGGTGAGGGAGATAACAAGAGAAGAGGAGGCTTGAGAGAAAATTGATGAGGATTACCGCTGGAATGCACTTGCAGCTACTCTTTGCTTCCTGCCGGCAGGGACCACCACCGCTGCAGACGGCTTGTTTGTATTCTTCACATGGGCTCGCGACGCTTTTTAGCAATTCAAGGTGTAATTTCATAAATTGCAGTTTCATCAACGAACACTTCACCGCTTCAAAGTTTTGCTCTAAACGGAACTGAATGATTTCAGGAATTTAAATTACAGCTTTGCTCACCCGGCCCAAATGAACAAACCCGGCTATTTTATCTGCTTCAGGCCTTGAGAATTTATGAGATGTGGCGAAATATTAAAGGAGCTCGGGGTCGCGGCCCTTTGAAGTAGAGAGGTCTCTTACCAGTTGTCTTTGCTTTGGTGGCAAAGCCGGCGGCTGCACCGGCTCGTGCACTGAGTCGGTGCTGCTGAAGGAGTCGTTGAAGCCGTAGACCTCCTGGAAGCGCTTGTTGCGCTGTTCATAGATGCTTTCGCTCTGCGGCATCTGGTAGAAGACAGAGGGCTGTGGCTCCGAGTAGTCTTCCACAAACTGCATGTATTGAAGGACTGGAAGAAAGAGATTGATTCGATTAGAAAACATGCGTTGTTTATTTTGCGTAAGGTTCCAACTTTAAGAAAAGATAGTTATTATTATTCTCTCGCTCTCTTCCAAAGTGTGTCTTTTGTCTCATCTTCTTCTCCCCATCCCCAACCAGTCATAGCTGCTGGCTGCCCCACCATAGGCCTCTTTCTGCTTGAGGTTCCTTCCTGTTAAAACAGAGTTTTTCCTTCCAGCTGTTGCCAAGTGTGTTCTCATAGGGGGTCATTTGACTGTTGTGATTTTCTCTGTATTACTGTAAAGTAATACAATTCGAAAGCAATTTGAAATTAACCTTGACGTCTACAACAAGTGTAAATAATCAGTATTGCTCATGCAAGATGGGAGATATAAAATACAAGAGATCTAAAAAGGAAAAAAAAACGTAAAAACGTGTCACAGCGAAGTGTTGAGCAACCACACAATAACATTTTTCATTAAACTCCGTCTGCGTGGTTAACACCCTGGTGATTCAGACATTTTGCTAAAAATGTCCTAAAGCCCATGAATGCATCACTATGACATCATCAGTTATTTTCCTGGGTTTGACACAAACCTTATTATATAGTGATTCTCACTGGGTTAACAGTAGTGTGCATATACTGCGCTTTACATCAACCAGGACTCTGGAATGTGATTAAAAAAGCAGGAAGGGCAGTCTGCTGCTGGGAATGACATAATACAGTAGCATGAGAGGAAGTGATGTAGCAGTCGGGCGAGGAAGTGACCATCCACTGCCCTCTGTGCCCCTGGAGCCGAACCCATTGTAGCACATCCTGGAGTTCACTTCCTGCCTCTATTCACAGAGGAATATTTCCTTGACATAAACTGCGGTGCAACAAGTGGATGACAAAGTGCACTGAGCGTCCTTTTCCAAATCTCGACTTCAGTCTTTAACCTTTAATCTTACTTTACTCATTTAAAGGTCGTCCTTCTTTCTAGACCTAACCGCTGCATCACAATGTCTCCTGCCCCTTTTCTTCCCCCCTCACTTACTGTGTTTGCTTTTCTTTTCTGGCAGTGGCGGTGGGCTGGCGGGGACATCTGCATTGTCACTGGCAACGTACTGGGAAACAAACACGCCCCCATTTGTTTGGGGCATGGGTGAGATGGGTGTGAAAAGGGGGAACGGTGGCGTGGGATGAAGTTCCTCTTCTGACAGGTTGTCGTACTGCGAGGGGAATCGCTCGTACAGCACCCTGGACCCAGTGTCGGAGAAGGACGACGTTTGGGTGCTGCGCCGCTTCTTCATCGGCAGGGCAGGGGGTGCGCTGATGCGGGAGGACTGTAAGGGGTTAGTCTGATTGGGCTGGGGGGTCCAGTAATCTTGGTGCTGGGGTGGGGGAGCGCTGAAGCGTGGATGCGAGGGGTGCTGTCCAGGAACGGGGGAAGAGGACTCGCTGTGAGACTCGGGCAGGGGGCTGAGGCACCCCCCAACTGGTATTGGGGGCAGGTTTTCCCCAGCTGACAAGTCCTGGTGGAGGAAGTCATAATCTGGGTCGTAGTGATCTGTGTTGTCTGCAAAGATAAAGAGAAGATGATTTTTATTTACATTTACATTACATTTTATTTTTTTTATTTAGTTCTTCATATTTCATCAACAACTAGTGTTGAAAATATTAAGGAACCCACCCCCTTTAGTCAATTATAATAGCAGGAGCTAACACAGCATAATTACCTCACTGTTGAACTGTTGACTGTTTTTTTTACTTTTCTGTCAACTATTTGTGCAAAGAAATGCACAGATTTTTCCTGATTTTGTACATTGTTAACATGCATATGCACCCATCTTTAGTATTTTGTGCAAGCAATTTGACCAGCATAAAAAATAAAATAAGCAATTCAGCGCTGAATAGCTGGACTTCTTACCGAGCGTCTCACAGCTGGTGTTCCGAGAACACTGCCCGCTGTCCTGCTCTATGGAAGAAAGCTGTTCGTCGGATTTGCTGAGTTTCCCCATGCTGCTGCACGGTGAAAGACGGGGAGAGTCGCCACCGTACGAGTGGCTTCCCCCAGAGAAACGCCTCTGAAGGAACTCCTGTTCATAATCCTGTTGTTGCAGAGACACTGAAAGGTTAGTTTACTTCCTACAAATACATACTGCATTTAGGGTTTTAAAGTAAACTAATGGGATGCTATAATACAGTGCTGTGCAAAAGTCCTAAACCATTATTTTCTATTGGTATTTTGTAGGAAAATGGGAAACAGGTGCAGTGATTTATTGAAACGTGCAAACATACATGAAAATAAAGTACACAAAGCAAAAATGGAGGTTCAATTTGAACAAGTATATATAATATGACTTGATATACTTGATCACAGCCTGAACTCTCTTTGGCAAAGTTTCCTTCTGATTCCTTTAAGTAGTCTTCAGGAATAGTTCTCCAGGCTTCTCAAAGGACATTCAAAGCTCTTCTTTGGATGTTGGCTGCCTTTTGTTGCATTCTCAGTCAGGATGATCCCACACTGCTTTAATAAAGTTGAAGTCTGGACTCCATGACTGATAGTGTGTTTGGGATCGTTGTTATGCTGAAAATGAAGCTGCTGCCAATCAGATGCTTTCCAGATGGTGTTGTTTGATGGATCAGAATCTGACTGCACTTTTCTGCGTTCATAATTCCATCCGTTTTGACAAGATCTCTAACACCACTGGCTGAAATGCAGCCCCAAACCATTACAGATGGCAGTAACATGTTTTGCAGACGGCTGTAGACCCTCACCTCTTGTGACTTTCTCTCATGTACATACCAATGACAACTGGAATACATAATTTCAAATTTGGATTAATTACCCCATTTGACATGTTACCACTAATTTTCAGTCCACTTCTTGTGTAACGTGGCAACCGTCAGCCATTTCTCCCTGTCCTCCTTCATTATAAATGGCACCATCCTTCCACTGAGACCATTTGTGATGAGACTTCAGCAAAGCAGACTGATGAACTGAATGGCAGGGTACTGTTTCAGGTCTTTGCTGGATTCTTTCTTATTTCTTAAGGACACGATACGATATATACAGATACTCCACACCAGGTTTTCAACTAATAGATGTTTGGACTCACCTTGTTGGTGAAAAAACAAAAATTCTATTTTATGCCTTAAAAAACAGAGCAAAACAAAACAAAAAACTATTCATATTAAAATGGTCAGGTACAAGGACTGGATTGAAAAAGAGTGAAAAAACAGCCATGGAAGTCTGGAGAACTAATGCTCAAAATGACAAGAAATTCAGGTGCCTTGGAAGCAAAATATAAGGAAATGAGGGGCGACTCAAGAGTTTTGCACAGTACTGTAGATCACTGGACGTTAAAGCCTCACCTGTCTGTGGTCACTACACGGGAGGCTGGAGCCACGGCTCATCGGGGCGACCACTGCCACTGGTGTAGGTGAAGGGGCCGACTGTCGCTTCTTAGGAGGAAGAGCTGGTGGAGGACTACAGACGGATAAATGGAGAACAGCAGAATAAAAAAAAGAAAGAAAGCCAAACAGGAACAATGAGCGTTTTGTCTCAAAGTTAAAAAAAGGTCAATCAGGCAAGCACGCGGAACACGCGGTTCCTGACATGTATGCGCACACACACACACATAAAAAACAACAACAAAAAGATGTATATATACATGAACACACACACATTATCATCCCTCCTCTGGACAGTGAGATGAAAAGTGAGAGTGTTTCATGTTAGGCTCTCTCCTGCTTGTCAAACCTAAATTCTCTCAGTGAGTTAATATCATCCAAATGAGGCGACGAGCGCACAGAAGCGACCATGACATGGAGGCCAGCGAAAAAGGACACTTCATAGGGTCAGTCATACACTCTCATGCACTGGGCGGTCTTCTGATTGGATGGGAAGGTCTTCAGGGAATACCCAGGATGACACAAACTTTAAAACAACGCAACCATGCAAATCAAAAAGCACTTTCATCCAATCCAGAAGTTTTATGGGGAAGGGGGGAGGGGTGGGATGTTATTATGGAGACAGATGATCCTAAGGGGCTAACATACTTCTCCTTCTGAGAGGGTCTCCTTTGGCCAGCCTCGGCACTCAACTGTGCTCTGTTCCCAGAATCCAAAAAATGGGAAAAGAAATAAATAAATACAAAAAAAATGACAGACACAGCAGAGAGAGTAAGGAACGAAGAGCAACAAACAAACTACTGATTCAGATTTTTAAGGCTCGAGTATAAAAAGTCTTAATAGTTCAAACCTCAAACAAAACCCCTTTGAATTCCATACCACAAAAGCTTCCTTTACTCCTTATTTGTTACTCGTGAAACAACTCGAGAAAAAAGACAAGTTACACTGAAACAGCTGCAACGAATAAATGCTTTGTGGCGACGGTACAAATGGTCACAAAATAGTTTCGGTGACCTCTGACCGCACAGCCTCAAAGCTACCAGACAAAAATAAGGCGACAGGAAATCCTTTGGTTTCTACGGACTTTATCGCCACAGCGAACGCTTCAGCAACGTCTGCTCAGCTGGGAGAAGTATTGATACTGTAGCCCTGCTCACTTAAACACAGAGAATCCGCAATATCACACCCGCAGCTGGAGCGCTTTCACCCTCACCTGAGCTCAGCCATTTTGGCTTCCGGTAGTGGCGGTTTGGGAGGTGCTACTTCCACGTCTGGTACTTCAGGGGCAGCTTCCACAGGAGCGGCTGCCAGAGCCGGCTTACTCGAGACCTCCTGCTCCCGATCTATCAGGGGCATCTCTGCTGACACGCTGCTGCGTACGTAAAGAAAAAAAAGCAGATTGAGTGACGCGACGTACTCGGAGCGCCTGAATCTTCGTAATCCTGCGAGTGTGCTCTGCGCTCACCTCTCGGCTGTGACAGCAGGTGCTGCTGGTTTATTAGGTGTGGTAGGTGACGGCTGTTCCTGCTTCTCTATGGTCAGCTTCACCAGCTCCTGTTCACAGATAGACAACGCAGCCAGTCTCAGTCTCCTCTGAAAACTCCACTTTAGCACACTGCCACATCATTTTCAGCACAGGGCCCATACCTTTACTCCATCCAGCACCGCTTTGATGACATTGGTGACAGAAGCCACATTTTCCTTATCGTCCAAGTCAATCCCGTCAAGCATCACCTGGTCGGCCCAGCGGATAAGGTTGGCCAAACTCTGATATACGCGGCTGTGGCAAGATGACAGCGCCGAACTGTTTGACGAGAAGAGGAATTCGGTTGGGTTGGGTTGGTGGTGTACAGTACAGATATGAAGCACATCATGCACAGGAGGGGAGAGCAAAAGTGAGGAAGGAGAATGATCCAAGAGGGCACAACAGCAAGGCATGAAGAAAGAGAAGGAGGAGGGGGAACATGTTAGGCTGCAAGTGAGAAAAATCACAGAAATAAGACACATTCTATCTACTGTCTATCAACAAACATTTCTGGGGGGGATTGGTTGGAATTGCTTAGGCTACAAGCTTGAGGCTAGGAATAAGGCTGCTAGAGCTCACAGGAGAATGTAGGGAAGTGGGTGTTGTTTCACCATTTAGCAAATCATACTTTGAGACTTAACACTAAGGTGTGGCAATGGCCTGTACCAACACGCAGCGACTGATTCACAGTGCAGGAATATCCTTCCAATGTCTCTGCACGGCTTAGTCCTTAAGCGAGTGGGAGAGAACTGAAGCTATAGAAGTAGGGAGATGGTGGATTGGACAAGTATGGGACATAGATCACGCTAGAGCTGAGGAGATCTAGAGTGATTATAATTCATGTGGCTGACTAGACTTTGTATATACTAATACAGTTTTAGCAAATAAGCTCTCTACTTAACTCTCACTGGAGTTACATCTATTTGACTCAAATTAAATTAAATCCCTGAAACCAAATATACCGCCCATGTAGCCAACGGAAAAACGGTTTTAATCGCTAAAATGGAAACTTAACAGATAATATTATGAAACAATATTTACTTACTGTAGCTTATTTGCCAAAAGACATTCAACTTAGAGCTGTAAAGTAACTATAATGTAAACTTTTACTGGGATCTATCGAGATTTGGACTCGGTAAGATTGAGTTCAAATCTTAAAATATGGCTGCTGCTCAGTTTTCCAGCAACAATCCATCAACTGCTTCTAAACACAGTGCTCTGACCTTTGACCTCCATACTTCATCTGTAACGATGGGTGAGAAAAAAGGCACAAAGACAAAGACAGAGAAGTTCCAACATGTCCTGGCAAAAGCTGCCCACAAAAAACTGCAACCAGGCTTACTTTAAAAAAAACACAACAGCAAACACACAGGGGAAATAAAGCAAACTGACTCGTGCTACGGGCTGATATATCTCAAAGCTGAAATTAATTTCTGTTCCACAAAAAGAAATGTGTTAATGGAGAGAGAGAGAGCAGCAAGTGATGTGAGCTTATACAACTTCAGATTTCAAATCGGGGGAGCCTCGAGGGGAGCCTGCGAACTTATCAATCTTCACAAGCTCCTCGCTGGCAGGAAGGCAGCGTCTTTCTAGTCTGAACATGTGACCGAGCTACTTTACAAGCTACTTCGAGAGGCAAGAATAATAAGAATAAACTGAGAAGTGATACAGTGTCACTAATATAAATCTAAAGTGGGGAAAAAGACTGCAGAAAGAATATTATAACACTGACCTACATTTTCTATTACCCACCTGTGCTGTATCCGTGCCTCTACCTGCACCAGAGGCAAGATTGCTTCAAGCACCTTGCTGGCCGAGCCTGGAAGCATCTCCAGAACCTTCTTCTCTACAACCATTTTGTCCACGATTGTCTTGAAGTAGCGCAGGGCACTGACCACTTCTTTCTCCTGCTCCTCCAGCCTACTAACCTTCTAAAAAAAAATGCACAACCACAAAACAGTGTCTCAGGATTAGACTGCAAAGTTCATTTTTATAAGAGAAGTAAATAGTTACTATTTAGTCTGGGCTCTGTGCATTGGGTCTGCTACTCCTGTGGTTTGCTCACAGTTCAAAGCGTCATCTATCAAGTGATGTGGCTTTGAGTGATCTTGGTGCTCCTGCAAAGAGCTCTTTGAGCCTCTCTAGTCTTTCACAGCAGGACTGCTGAGGAGTATACTCATTACACCAAAAGCCTTTAAGAGCTAACAGAGTTCATTCACGACGCAGCGCGGTTCCACTCGCGCCTTTATAGGTTTAGACACCTGCTGAAGCACAGCCAGCCGCCACAGCGACTGGGAGGCTGTGGGAACCAGCAGGGAAACCCACGTGCGGACACAATGGAATAGAGGAGCACAAAACATCTGACAGGAAAACAATCGTCTCACAAAGAGGCAAACAAATACACGGAATAGGCGGGAAAGCGTTGGATTTCCCACAATACACACATGTCTGCTGGCGCACACAAACACACACACCTTGTTAGTAGGTTTCTCAGTACTCTTGGCTGCTGTCTCGGGCTGCAGTTGCTTGCCCTTCTTGGATGGAGTCCTCTTGATCTTGGGAGAGTGGAACTTATCCTTCAGGATCATGGTGATAGTGGACAGATGGGACCGTTGTGAGTCTGTGGACGAGAGAGGGAAAACACAGCAAGTTGAATGGTCAGTTACGGAGGAGAGATTCTCAAGGGGGAGGTGGCGGGTGAGGAAGGGGGTTTGAGAATAGAAATTAGATGTAAGCAGATGGCACAAGCTCAGTAAAGTGCTGATATCACTATCACACAGTGGTGCTCAGGTCAGGAGTTGAGCACCAGCAAGACTGCAATGCTAACACAAATCTGCTGCTCAAGCTCATCTAGCAGCTCATTATTTGTACAGATGTGAGGGAGACGAGGCCAAAGCAGACGAGTGTGCCTCTGCTAGTTAGTGCAGAGATGAAAATGACTTTACAGGATTACAGAGACAGCAGCTTCATAATAGATGAGTTATTTAGCAGAATTCCAACTAGTTCATAGCAGTGAGGGTTTAGTTGATCCCAGGATTAACAGAGCCTTAAGATAAATAAGGTGCTCCCTCATGTTGTCCTTTCACCTCTTTGTCTCTCCCCTCCTATCTGAAGCTGAACCAGGAAATAAATACTAATAAGAGCAGTGGGAGCTGACAGGACGAGTGTGGGTTTTTATCAGCGACAATATGACACCTTTATCTGCTTTAATCTCCCTTGATCGCGGCAACGGCAGGATGTGGCATTCTGGGGCCATCGGCATGAAGAAAAACAACCAAAAAGACTGCAGAATAGCAATCAACAGCAGGAAAGAGCCACAAACCAGACTTCCAGTGGGGCCGTGCTTTCATCTGCACCATTGATCGACACGACACGCAAGCATCCACCCACTGTTCTATCTCTAATCCCCATCATCCTTTACACCCAGCGCAAAGCCAAAGTTCGCCAAGACGGCCAAGGACGGCCAAGGACGGCCTCGTGTTCTCATTAAAAATGTTGGTGAGAACGGCTGCCGTAGCATTTCCTGAGATTAGGCGTGCGTGACCCCTCGTCTCTTGTTCTTACGCAGATTTTTAAATTTTTTTATCCCAGCTTCACGCACAAAAAAAAAGAAAAAGAAAAAAACTCCAGGTGAATTTTTTTTTTCGGGATGGGGCAAGCATTAGTAAGTTATTTGTGTCGCAGAGAGAGAGGATTGAGCAAAACGCAGAGTTGCTGGAAATCTCTTTCATGACTGCTCATCAATTTTAATCTGAATTTGACCCAGTTTCTAATATCCAAATCGGTTGAATCAATCACATATAGATGTTTCAACGTGTTTGCTTTGCTGGGGTAAAAACAAACTAACTCAAATGTAACTTCATGAGTGGTTGTTTCCAGGGAGAGAGTAAATTCATGCCACCGTGTGACAGAGATAGCATATTTTATTGGTATGCTGTGCCTCTTCATTTCACACAGTCAGTGGAGTAAAGAAATAACAACGTCTAGTCAGCTGGGCAGGATTTAGGGAGAAGGAAGACAAGTTTATCAAAGAAGACAGAGCAGTCACTCGGTGCGATGAAGACCCTGCAGGAAGGGACAACCTTCTCATCTGCACTGCTGTCTGGATCTACACTTTGTAGTCGCGCCGCAGGGGATGATGTAGTCCTTCAGAGCTCCAGAAGAGCACGGTCTGAATAGCACAGCTAGCGTGAGAGATTATTTTACACCCCGAGGCTGTACATACAGTGTTAAGTCCGTTTTGCCACAAGCCAAGACACTCTCCTGGCTGGACTTCACTTTCCAGAGTCACAGACTACATGTAGAGTAGTGAGTATGTTTTTGATTGCACATCAGCCTTCATATAAATTCAGTGCCCCCCCCCAGAATCCCCTTAATCTGGGAGCGTGCACAGGGGATTGTGTCGGACTTCACAAAAACGCTGCAACCTCTCACTCAACTGCAGCTCACACAGAGCTGAAAGGAGTGTGTCCGTGTTGTTTACAGCTGCAACTCAGCATCGTCCCAGCCCCAGAGCTGAGAAGCAATGACACGAGCACAATGAGTGCATACGATCGATACAGCTGGTGACCTCAGACGCCACATCGCGGTCCCGAGGCTCAGCTGTTTATCAGGCGCACAGGGCTGGTTCCATCAATCCTCCGCTCCCCTATTCACTCCTCAACCCAGTCTTTTTTTTCCTCTTTAGTTCTTGGGAGCAGAAAGAACTGGAAGTCTGGCTCAGCATGAAAATGACATCATCAACAGAAAGAAATGGACACTGTTAAAGTCAGCAAGCACGAGAGAGAGAGAGAGGGAGAGAGAGAGAGAGAGGGAGAACACAGTGAAGTGCTCTGTTATAGTCATGCAGCCCCCCCTTAAGTATCCACCCTCCCCTCCTCTGTGAGAGAGTGCGCAGCCAGGTCCTCTCCTCAGCTTCCTGCCTGCTGCTGGCCAGAATTATGATGTCATTGGTTGTAATGTCTCAGACAGATCTGACGAGTCATCGACGAAACAAAACAGTGAAAGAAACTTTACAGTTAAACCGTTTTGGGGTGGGATAAAATTGGAAGTTGTGTAGGCGCTAATACTGTTGTCGTCTGCTACCCGTAGATTCTGGCAGCCTGGAGAACAGTAAAACTGTCTCAGTGCCCAACTGAGACTGGAGACTATTCATTTCTGCACCTCGAACACTCAAGCGCCATGAATAAGTCCAAATGGAAGCACATTTATGCACTTAACTCTTGAACAACCTGAGGCACTGTTAGATTACCGTCACTAAAAAGACTTCAAAGCATCCCATGATCCACCTTATTAGAGTTTCTGCCAGTTTTTACTTTTTACATAAAATGCAACACATTTTCCAGTTTCTATTTTCTCAGGTTTTTAGGCATATTTATGATGAGCACATAAGTGGCCAAACTGGGACTTGGATCATGTCTCAACAACTATAAAACCAACCTTGTTCCCAACCATGGGGACCCAGGACCCCATTTTGCGGATCAAACTAATTGGTGCAACCGCTATACTGAAGGCTTTAAACAATTTTTAAACGCTACAATTTGGTTCCAGTCTTCAACATATCAATCTGCGCAGCTTTACACCATTTCAAATGTTACTTCAAAGCCAATACTTGTGTTTTTACTACTTTAAAACTGCTTCGAGACACCAAGGGGATTACAGAAGAAGAATTAATTTGAAGATTTAATATGTGATGCCTTCCCTTTGTTGATTTCTATTTGTGGCTTCCATATCCATTTTAGTGAAAAGTAAAAACTAAAAAAAATAAAACAGCAGAGCCTAACTGACAAACATCAAAGTGGGTTAGGCTTCCATAAAAAAAAAATCTTGGTTTATCTCTTACATTGTAAAATGCTTCAGTCCCATGAAACACCAAGAACTGAAACCAAACAACCCCCAAACCCTCACGTCACACTGCAAACTCACAATTACGCGTAAACCTCCCGCAAAAAAATCCCCAGTGCGATGAGTTCACAGTTCATGTGAACGCCACGGTGGTAAAACCTTATGACAATCGGTTCGTGTTAGTAATGGTACCAAAAATCCAAGTCTGTAGGATACGTGAAAAAATGACTATAACTGACATTGTTAAGACTAAATAGCGAAGGATTTAACAAGTAAACATCTTTTTTGGAGGCTTTTAAACTCTGCAGACACTTTGCTGCTCTTAAAGGCCTTGGGGACATTTAAAGCAAACACTTGAGTCTGAACAACTCTTCAACAAAGCCTGGGAGAGTTCTCATCCAACTCTGCGGTGTGAACAGATTCCCTGGGAGCTTTCTAGCTGCTGAATTGTCTGAAGGCTTTGTTACACAATAAGCAAACAGAAAAAAACACACACACACACACATAGGGTGTAAATTTATGGATGCTTCTGGCAAAAAGAGGTAAGTGGATGCAATATACCGCAAATTAATTTTGTGTATATTTCGCTTGTTATTTGCTGGAGCCTGAAAAGACCTCTGCATTTAATTCTGCTGCCCTAAGGCAATCCACAGACACCTGCTGTCCAGGAACATTTCATTTAGAATAAGAAATAGTTTATTTAGTATTCCACCTGGAAAGGCAGCCAGTCTAGGGTTTTGTCAGCCTCACCACATGAACCATAGCTATGAGCACAATCCCTCCAGGCTAACACGATTCTGTATCAGTGTGATTAATATCTTGAAAAACTTCCTTGAACTCATGACCCTCCCAAATCGCAAGGCAAATGGTTTTTTAATAAACAGAGCTTTATTTTGAATCCTGGCAGGCTGTCAGACAAAAAGACATACCTAAAGGTGTTTGAAATGCTGCTTCCTCATAAACTGAATATTATTAAATTAGGAGGGTTTTTTTCCTCTCTCCCCTTTCTATTTATAATACAGTATCTCTGAGTGGGAGGAGGTTAATTCCATCCCTGCTATTAATGGCAGTCTGTGTAGTGTGAAAAACTGCAATTTATGGAACAACTTGTTTCTTAATTGTACTTATCTTATTTATCTATTTTCCAAATTAGAAAAAAAAAAATCCCGTTCTGTATTACTGATCATGACGACTGGTGCCATATGTGTTTGTCGGGGTGTGACGGGCTGGCAGATTGATGTGGTTCCTGTTCAGTACAGGTGTGATCTATACAGGACAGCTGGTGGCCTCTTCCCTTCTCACTGGCCCTGTAGGCTTAGAGTAAGACGAAACAGGCTGGAAAGGCAGAGATGAGGCTGCGCTTAAAGTTACATGCACAGCTGTCACCTCCTGCTGAACCCCTTCAGCGAGGAGCTTCTCAGTGAAAGTGTCCCCAAACCTTCCTCTGCGGACGTGTTTAGCCTGTTAGAAGACCGCTACGAGAGTCACAAAAGGTCACTGTGGCAGCTGTTCAGCATACGAAAAAGGTAAGTGGGGGGGGAGAAACTGATCTGAAAGTGCGCATAGAAAATGTTTAGAGGATGAATGAACTGCAAAAATGAATTATTTTTCTGCTTTACACAGACTCAATGAGAGATAAAACCTACAAGTATATGTATACATAACCTTCACACTGGACTCATTCAGTCCATCGCTGTGTTAATATGCTTTTGAGTTTATAACGGCATTTCTGTTGCACACATTTTGAAGCAAAGACCCACAGTACCAGCAATGTTA